CTGCTGCTGCTGCTGCTGCTGCTGCTGCTGCTGCTGCTGCTGCTGCTGCTGTTGCTGCTGCTGCTGCTGAAGCAGCTCTTGCTGATGATGATGCCTCCGCTACTGCTGCTGCTGTTGCTGCTGCTGCTGCTCCAGCAACTCTTGCTGTTATTCCCACAGCTGCTGCTGTTGTTTCTGCTGCTGCTGCTGCTGCTGCTGGCTGCTGCTCGGCGAGTTTCTGCCTGCTTCTGCTGCTTGTGTGTCTCCTCATTTATTATTTTCATTTTCTTTTGTTATTTGTTGCGTCTGTTTATTCATTTGGCCAATTATTCATTTAAAAGCTTTTAATGCATTTATTAGTCTTTTATTTTTATTTGCTTCTGCAGGACCCCCTGGGCGGTGCAGCAGCAGCAGCAGCAGCAGCAGCAGCAGCAGCAGATCCGCGGCAGTCCCCGCTGTGGGAGGGGCAGCACCGGCAGCTGTCCATACACCTGGAAAGTGTGGGGCGGCTGCCTGTCTCCTTTTTGTCTCTTAAAGTGCTGCAGCAGCAAAAGGGACTGCTGCAGCAGCAAAATGGAGTGCTGCAGCAGCAAAACGGAGTGCTGCAGCAGCAAAAAGGAGACTCGAGTTTGAAGCAGCAAAAAGAACTCGAGCAATATTTTAAGGTCCATCTTTTCGTTTTTAATTTCTTTTAATTTCTTTTAATTTCTTTTAATTTCTTTTTTCCTTTTCCTTTTATTTATTTTTTACTTCTTTTTCTTTTTTATTTCTTTTTTTTTCTTTTTATTTATTTCCTTTTTATTTCTTTTTAAATTCCCTTTTTCATTTCCGCAGCTTCTCCAATTCTTTCTTTCGAGTGCCTCTCCCTCGGCTGCTGCCGCATGCTCCAAACCCTAAACCCTAAACCCTAAACCCTAAACCCTAAACCCTAGCAAGCCAAAAGGGGGGGTTTGTGTGCAGATCATGTGGCAGCAAGATGCTCCTGCGTTCTACGGGCCCTCGGGCACAGTTGAGTTCTGTCCAGAAGGGTACAGTGGAGAGGGGCCCCCTGGGGGCCCCCTGGGGGCCCCCTGGGGGGGCCCCCCGGGGGGCCCCCTGGGGGGCCCCCATGGGCTCAGCAGCGCCTCTTTTAGCGGGGACGACAGCTGGAGCTCTTCTTCTCTTTCTTTGTCTCACGAGGGCCTTGGGGGGCCCCCCTGGGGGGCCCCCCAAGGCTCTGGGGCTCTGTACCCTCCTGGCTGGGGGCGGCCCCTGGGGGGCCCCCGAGACCGCAGCAGCAGCAGCAGCAGCAGCAGCAGCAGCAGCAGCAGCAGCAGCTTTTTGCTCGACTCTGGCGCAGCAGCGGACGACAGAGAGGCTGGGCATGCGGCCGTCGCCAGGGGGCCCCCTGGGGGCCCCCAGGGGGGCCCCCAGGGGGGGCCCCCCGGGGGGCCCCCCTCGGGGGGCCCCCCCCGGGGGGCCCCCCAGGAGAGGCCCCTAATTTTGCCTGGGCAGAAAATTAGGGTACCATTGAGGTGTATAGCCAGTGCGAAGTACCCTTCTTGCGTAATTGAGTGGGTGGTTTATTAAATCTTTTATTTATTTTATTTATTTTATTTATTTTATTTATTTTATTTATTTTATTTATTTTATTTATTTTATTTTATTTATATTTCTTTTTATTTTATTTGTTTTTATTTAAATTGAGACTTTTTGTCTTTTTGCTTTTTGCTGTTTTCGCCGTGCAGCAGCTCTTTGCCCCCCCGCAGCTCCCTTCTAGCTGCTGCTGCTGCTCTGCTGCTGCTGCTGCTCTGCTGCTGCTGCTGCTGCTTCTGCTGCTGCTCCAGCGCTGCTTCTGCTTCTGCTGCTGCTCCGCTGCTGCTGCTGCTGCTGCTCCCGCTGCTGCTGCTGCTGCTGCTGCTGGAAGTGTGCAAAAGTTGTTTTTTTTTCTTTTTTTTGCAGAGTCACTTACGCAGTCTCGAGCTCTTCGCCGCACTGCAGGGTTTGTTACCTGCCCCTTTCGCTGCAGGTCCAAAGGGCCCTTTTCTTGAGGCCCCGGGGCCTTTCTTTGTTTTCTTTGTCTCAGTTTGACCCTTTGGGGGCCCTCAGGGGCCTCCTAGCTTCTGGGGCTTGTTCCCCCTCCTTAGCTGCTGAGTTCGGCTTTCTGGGGGCCCCCTGGGGGCCCCCCTGGCCCCTGGGGGGCCCCCCAGACGACGAGGGGCCCTCCCTGGGGGGCCCCCCGGACTCCGACAGTGAAGAACACCCGCCCCCGGGGGGCCCCCTAGGGGGCCCCCCGGGGGGCCCCCCCGCAGGGGCCTCCGGGGGCCCCCAGGGAGTTTCCCCGGGGGGGCCCCCTTTTGCTGCTCCCGCAGCAGCAAATGCGTACAAGACCTCGCAGGAGTGGGGGGCCCCCTGGGGGCCCCCCTCCTCGCGAGGGTCCTTGAGGGGTTCCATCGACAGCGGGGTGGGGCCCCCTGGGGGCCCCCTTGGGGGCCCCCTCGGGGGGTCTGCGCCTGGGGCGCCTGGAGGCCCCGGGGCCCCCGGGGCCCCCGGGGCCCCGGGGGCCCCGGGGGCCCCGGGGGGCCCCGGAAGGGGCCCCTGGGGGCCCCTAAAGCATGCATTTGATAACAAGAAATGCATGCTTTGTCTGGACTTGGGAAATAATGCTCCAGTTAGTTTTGAGTGCTGGGCCCGCTGCGGGGGAGGGGCAGCGCAGCGGCTTTGTGTGGGGCCCCAGGAGTCGCATTCGCGGTGGGAGAGGGTTTAGGGTTTAGGGTTTAGGGTTTAGGGTTTAGGGTTTAGGGTTTGGGGGGTTGGCTGCTTCTTTTTGCTGCTGCGGGGCTGGGGAAAAGCAGAAGTGTGCAAAAGTGTGTTTTTAATTTAAATGATTATGGTTGAATTGTTTAATTTGGCATTTATGTGGGGCGAGCTGTCTGTACACTCCAAGCGCATGCAGCGAGCTGTCTGTACACTCCAGAAACGCAGTTCTTTCTGTGCATGCATGCATTTGAAAAGTAGTTCCTTTATGCATTTAAATGGAGATAATAAGTAATTAATTTGAATAAATATTTAAAATAAACATTTAAATAAAACAATTAATCAAAAAACTCCATTAATAAGCCAATGACGCGTCTGTGCGCTGCAGCTGGGCCCTCTTCGTGCCTCGACTGCCGCTCGACCCCACAGCAGCAGCAGCAGCAGCAGCAGCAGCAGCAGCAGCAGCAGGGGACCCCAGGGAGGCAGCAAAGGAGACACTTGCCACTCAAAAGGAGACACTTTTAAATCAAATTGATAAACATATTCGCCTTTCCTGGGTCTCCGCCCCAGCCCAAAGTGGCTCCCTTTCTCTTTTATCTTTGCTGCAGAGTGCAGCAAAAGCTGCCAGGCGGCGCAGGGGGCCCCCGGGGGCCCCCCAGGGGGCCCCCCAGGGGGGCCCCCCGGGGGGCCCCCTGGGGAAAACGCCCCCAGCAGCAGGGGGCCCCCCGGGGGCCCCCGGGGGGCCCCCAGAGGACTCAGGGGGCCCCCATTGGGAAGAGACTAATAAGCTGCAGGCTGCTGCGGGAGGAAGTCCTACAGGCAAGCAAAGGGGTGAGGCTGCTGCTGCTGCTGCATGCTCGGTTCGCCTCACTGCGTATGGACAAGTAGGCGCTGTTTTAATTACAGACTTTTGGATCTATTTGATTTTATTGAATTTAAATCTGAATTTAAATTTGAATTTATATTTATTATTTATTTTAAATGTACTTTGAATCCATTTGGTCGAAGCAGCGCTGCTGCTGCACTTCTGCGCAGGTGCTGCTGCACCTGCGCCTTGTGCGCAGTGCAGCAGCAGCAGCAGCAGCAGCAGCAGCAGCAGCGCCGCTAGCAGCACAAGGCCCAGGAGGCCCCATACACCTTGCGCACCCGGGGGCCCCTGTGGGGGCCCCCTCTCTTGGGGGGCCCCCCATCATGAGTCGAAGGAAGGACTGTTTTGCAGTGGGTCTAAACCTGCTGCTGCTGCTGCTGCTGCTGCTGTTGCTGCTGCTACTGTTGCTGCTGCTGGTGTCGCTGCTGCTGCTGCTGCCTCTGTGCAGCTCTCGTCGCTGCCCGTGCACTGTCCGTGCTGCTCCCGCTGCCGTTGCTGCTGTGCCCATCGCTGCCGCTGCTGCTGCTGCTGCTGCTGCTGCTGCTGCTGCTGCTGCTGCAGGTGGGCCTGGCGGAGGTGACAACTTTGCAGGTTTTTGCTGAGAACCTGACGGGGGCCCCCCTAGAGAGCTGCTGCGTCTTAATAGTACCCTTTTCTTACGGCTCGGAGGCCCCCACTGAGGGCCTCCTCTGGTCGGGGGCCCTCACTCACGAGATGGGGGGCCCCCTGCTGCCTTCGCTGCAGGTGAAGCAGCAGTTCATGGCCTCGCAGCAGCAGCAGCAGCAGCAGCAGCAGCAGCAGCAGCGGGGGGCCGCGGAGGGTCCCCCCAGCGGCCAAGGCGCCGCTGGGGGGGCCCCCGGGGGGCCCCCGGGGGCCCCCCAAGCGCGCAGCGAGCCGGGGGGCCCCCCGGGGGGCCCCCGAGGGCCCCGGGGGGGCCCCCCGGGGGCCCCCAACTGGGTCTTGCGCATGCAAAGTAGGGGCGCTGTGCTGTGCCACCAACTGTCCCTTCTTGCATGCGCTCCTGGGGTTTATAATATTGCTGCTGGCATCTTTTGCAGGGAGCAGCAAACTGTTTACTGGCACCACCGGCCGCTGCGGCTGGTGGCCTAGGGTTTAGGGTTTAGGGTTTAGGGTTTAGGGTTTGGGGTTTGGGGTTTGGGGTTTGGGGCTGGGGCGCGCGCACGCAGTGCTGCTGCTGCAGCAGCAGCGCGAAGGCTTCGAAAAGAACCTCATTTTGAAATTCGGGGGTTTGAGTTAGGGTTTAGGGTTTAGGGTTTAGGGTTTAGGGTTTAGGGTTTACGGTGGAACGAGTAAGAATCGGGAGCAGTACAAGCAGGGTAGCAGAGACAGATAAATGAAGACACAAGTACAACTGCTGCCACTGCTGCTGTTCCTGCTGCTGCTGCTGCTGCCACTGCTGCTGCTGCTGCTGCTGCTGCTGCAGATGAGCAGCAAATATGACCGAATTCTTAAGCCTACGCCGCCTCTTCCACTATTGCTTCTGTCTCTGCCAGTGAAGCCCCTGGGGGGCCCCCGGGGGCCCCGGGGGCCCCAGGGGCCCCGGGGGCCCCAGGGGCCCCGGGGGCCCCGGGGGTCTGGGGGGCCCCAGGGGCCCCGGGGGCCCCGGGGGCCCCTGAGGGTTCTGAAGCCCCGGGGGCCCCTGGGGCCCCAGGGTCTGGGGGGCCCCTGGGTACCCCCCAAGGGGGTATTTCTGTTTGGGGGCCCCCAGGTGGGGGCCCCCCTAGCCAGGGGGGCCCCTGGTGGCAGAGCTGTAGAGCTTCTTCTGCTTCTTTGTGAAGTTCGGATATATCTGCCAGAAGCTGCAGCCCACACTGCAGCGCAGGGCTGCTGCTGCTGCTGCTGCTGCTGCTGCTGCTGCTGCTGCTGCTGCTGCTGCTGCTTGAGAGGGACCAGTCACCGCCGGCCGCTGTTGCTGCTGATGCTGCTGCTGCCTCTACCGCAGCTGCTGCTGCTTGCTCTGCTGCTGCCACTGGAGACGCCAATTCTAAAGAAGGCAAAGGGGCCTCGGGAGCCAACTGCAACGCAGCAGCAGCAGCAGCAGCAGCAGCAGCAGCAGCAACAGCAGCAGCAGCAGCAGCAGCAAGCTCCGTCTCGCCATGCACGGTCCGCAGTTTCTGCCCTAATTTAGCTGCGAGATTTGCGGACGCTGTTGCTGCTGCTGCTGCTGCTGCTGCCGCTGCTGCTGCTGCTGCACTAGGGATCAGGGGAGACTTGCCATTTGCTGCAGCAGCAGGCTCAGAGGTCCCGTGTCCTCAGCAGCAGCAGCAGCACGTGCGCATGCTTCCAGACCATCCGAGGCAGGAGAAGCGCCTTCCTCTGAAGCAGCAGCAGCAGCAGCAGCAGCAGCAGCAGCAGCAAGCTTGTAGCAGCAAGTATGTCGCCCACAGCACAACACGAAATGCTCTGAAGGAGCAGCAGCAGCAGCAGCAACAGCAACAGCAGCAGCAGCAGCAAATATCGGCAGCGCGAGGCAGAGCAACGCCATCGTCTCTTTGTTCCCGTTGCTGCTCCTCGTACATCCTAACATCCCTGCTTCTATCCTTCCATTGCAGCAGCAGCTGCGGAGCTTCGGGAGCAGCAGCAAGACTGTCTTGCTGCTGCGTGAGGTGTACGTACACCTCGTTTGCTGCTGCTGCTGCTGCTGCAGTTGCCGTGCTGCTCCTTGTCTCCTGAGCAGCAACCGAATAGAAAGCGCCACCGCTGCTGCTGCTGCTGCTGCTGCCGCCACATTTATGGCAACTGCTGCTGCAAAGCACCAGGTAATGCCGCATCAGCTGTTGCTGCTGCTGCTGCTGCTGCAGCAGCTGCTGCTGCTGCTGCTGCAGCAGTTGTTGCTGTGCATCAGCACATTTTCTTAGCTTGCGAAAAGCCACTTACTGAGATGAGCTGCAGCAAAGATTCGGTCTTTTGCTGCACAGCAGCAACAGAGTCAACGAGGCTGCACACAAGAGGGGGGCCCCCAGGGGGGCCCCCCGGGGGGCCCCCCGGGGGGCCCCCAGGGGGGCCCTCAAGGGGCTCCTGGGGGGCCCCCGGGGGGCCCCCTAGAGGGTCTTGAGGGGCCCCCAAGACGGACTGTGAGAGGCATTCAATCTGCTGCAGCAAATCGTCGGCCGAGCAGTCATCTATGCTGCTGCAAACAGCTTCCTGCTGCTGCTGCTGCTGCAGTTGCTGCTGCAGCAGCTCCTGCTGCTGCTGCCGCCACTCCCGCAGCGCTGCAATAGCAGCAGCGGCCTCGTCTGCTGCTGCTGCTGCTTCTCTTGCTGCTGCACACAAGCTGTGGGGCCCCGCTGCTGCCTCTTTATTGTCTCCTGTCTCCTTAGCAACATTAATTTTATTTAAACTCAAAGTAAGCAGCTCAACAGAGTCCTCCGTGGGGGCCCCTGGGGGGCCCCCCTCTCCTCTAGGGGCCCCAGGGGGCCCCTCGGGGGCCCCTTGACTCTCAAAGGGGGGCCCCTGGGTATCTGGGGGCCCCATTAAGGTCTAGGCTTGGCAGGGTGTCTTCACGCTAGCTCAGCACTAGCAGCAGCAGCACTAGCAGCAGCAGCAGCACTAGCAGCAGCAGCAGCACTAGAAGCAGCGCTAGCAGCAGCAGCACTAGCAGCAGCAGCAGCACTAGCGGCAGCACTAGCACCAGAAGCAGCACTAGCAGCAGCAGTAGCACTAGCAGCTAGCAGCACCAAGAGCAGCACTAGCAGCAGCACTAGCGGCACTAGCGGCAGCAGCAGCACTAGCAGCAGCAGCAGCAGCAGCAGCAGCAGCAGGTGAGTGTCTTCTGTGGGGCCCTGGGAAGCCCCAGTGTGGGCTAGGGGGGGCCCCTCGCTGTGGACAGGGGCCCCTCCCCCGGGAGGTCACCTCGGGCGTAGAGGGGCCCCCCGTGCTGCCTCTGGGGGCCCCCGGCGGGTCAGTACCCTCTTAGTACCCTCTTAGTACCCTCTAGAGGGCCCCAGGCCTTTGCTGGGCTCTCGGGGGGCCCCCGCGGCCCTCAGGGGCCCCTGGCGGGTGGGCTTCGCCTGGGGGCCCCCTGACTGCGGGGGGCCCCCTGCTGCTGCGGAGGGGCCCCCAGGGTTTCTCTGGGGCTGCAGAGGTAATTAAATTGTCTAAAATGCAAAAAAAGGGTTTAAATGGTACTTTTGGTCCAGGGGTAATCCCAAGAACAACCAAGGGGGCCCTCTGCTGCTGCTGCTGCTGGGGGGCCCCCAAGCAGCCCCGGGGGGCCCCCAGTACCCTCTTTGCTTCTCTTTATTTAAAGCTGCTGCTGAGCTTAAGAGTCTCTAGGGCCTGCAGCTGGGCCAGTCGAGCTCTGTTCTTGAGCCGGAGGGTTTAGGGTTTGGGGTTTAGGGTTTAGGGTTTGGGATCTGGGGTTTAGGGTTTAGGGTTTAGGGTTTCAAGCTGGTCTCGGGAAAAAGGAACAGAGCAGCTGCGGACAAAGCAGCAGACAGTCACTGTCAGCAGCAGCAGCAGCAACGAGACGCGGCAGCAGCAGCAGGAGCTCCTGCTGCTGCTGCTGCTGCTGCTGCTGCTGCTGGGCCCCCGGCAGCAGCAACCGCCGCAGCTGAGGGGGAACAACAGGAGCTATGGCGGAGGACCATCAGAAACTGCTGCTGCTGCTTCACCTGCAGCAGCTGCGGGCGCAGCAGCAGCAGCAGCTGCTGCAGCAGCAGCAACAGCAGCAGCAGCAGCAGCAGCAACAGCTCGTGCTGCAGCAACAGCGACCAGCAGCAGCAGCAACAAGAGCTGACGTTGAAGTGGTGCTGGACGCCACCGAGTCAGAGAGCGAAGAGTCAACGCGCAGCTCGCAGGACCACGCGCAGCAGCAGCAGCAGCAGCAGCAGCAGCGACAGCAGCAGCAGCAGCAGCAGCAGCAGCAGCAGCAGCAGCAGCAGCAAGAAGCGGCTCAGCCCCTCATGTCTTTGCCAAGGATAGGTGCAGCAGACGGGGTCCCCCAAATGAGCCCCCTCTTTCTTACGCCGGCAAATCCAGCAGCAGCAGCTTCTGCTGCAGCAGCAGCAGCAGCAGCAGCTGCTGCTGCTGCTGCTGCTCCAAATTTGGCCACAACTGAATGCCTCCAGCTCATCAGCGACGAATCTGAGGAAGACACAGGAGTCCCCCCGCTGCAGCGCAGCATCACCTTCAACAGCAGCAGCAGCAGCAGCAGCAGCAGCAACAACAACAACAACAGTAGCGACTCCCTCCTCCCTCACATTGATAGATTACGGAGTATCCTGCAGCAGCAGCAGCAGCAGCTGCAGCAGCTGCAGCCTCCAACCCAACAGCAGCAGCCACTGCAGCAGCAGCAGCCACTGCAGCAGCAGCAGCCGCAGCAGGACCAACTGCAGCACCAGGACCAGCAGGCGCTGCAACAACTCCAGCAGCAGCAGCACCAGCAGACGCTGAAGCAGCTCCAGCAGCAGCAATGTCAGCAGCAACAGCAGCTGCATCAGCAGCAGCTGCTGCAGCAGCAGCAAGTGCAGCTGCAGCAGATGCAGCAGCAGCAGCAAGTGCAGCTGCAGCAGATGCAGCAGCAGCAGCAAATGCAGCAGCAGCAGCAGCAGAAACAGCAGCAGCAGCAGAAGCAAGAGCTACAACAGCAGCAGCAGCAGCAGCAGAAGCAAGAGCTACAACAAGAGCAGCAGCAGCAGCAGCAAGAGCTACAGCAGCAGCAGCCGGAACAGCAGCAGCAGCGCCAAGTGCTGCAGCAGCCACAGGAACAGCAACAGGAACAGCAACAGGAACAGGAACAGCAACAGCAACAGCAACAGCAACAGCAGCAGCAGCAGCAACAGCAACAACGAGACCACGAAGAGGCAAGTGAGGAAGCAGAGGGAGAGTCACAGCGGCAGGACCAGCAGCAGCAGCAGCAGCAGCAACAGCAGCAGCAGCAGCAGCAGGTCCCTGCATCGCAGCAAAAGCCGAGACAGAAGCAGCAGCAAGAACGGCGTCCCCAGCGAGGCAGCAGCCGCCTTGCAGCAGCAGCAGCCGCTGCTGCTGCTGCTGCTGAAAAGAACGAAGCCGTTGCTGCTGCCTCCAAGCCAGGCGCCGAGCGTGCAGCAGCAGCAGCAGCAGCAGAAGCAGCAGCAGCAGCAGCAGCAGCAGAGAGAGCAGCAGCAGCAACAACGACAGCAGCACAAGCAACAGCGCTGTCTGTGGAGCATTAGCAGCATCTTCTTCAGCACTGTTTCGTGCATGCTGCTGCTGCTGCTGCTGCTGCTGCTGCTGCAGGCTTCCGCTGCTGGTGGACTTTGCTGCTGCTGCTGCTGCAGTCTATGGAGCAGCAAATATCAGGGAAAAGAGACACCCTGCGCTGCTGCTGCAGCAAGAGTTTCTTGATGGCTCTAGGCCCTTAACGAAGCAGCAGGAGCGGCAGCTGGAGCTGCTGCAGGAAGAAGCAGCAGCAGGTAGCAAACCCTAAACCCTAAACCCTAAACCCTAAACCCTAAACCCTGGAAGGTAAACCCTGTCTACTCGGCTGCCGCTCGCCTCAGCCGCTGCATTCAGAGCGCCCACCTAAACCCGCGCCTCCTAGGGTTTAGGGTTTACGGTTTAGGGTTTAGGGTTTAGGGTTTAGGGTTTAGGGTTTAGGGTTTGTGAGTCGCAGAGAGGTGCAGCGCCGAAGCAGGCAGCAGCCAGAAGCAGCAGCGGCCGCCGCTAGAAGGAGACACTGCAGCAGCAAGAGGCGTGGAGACTCCTTTGGAGGGAGACAAGTTGGCAGCAGGAGGCCTGGTCCGAGGGTTTAGGGTTTAGGGTTTAGGGTTTAGGGTTTAGGGTTTAGGGTTTAGGGTTTATGGGGGCGCAAGTCTGTCCCGGGCGGCGATTTTCTCGCATCTCCCTTTTTAGGTTTTAGGCCTGCTGCCGCTGCCGCTACCGCTGCTGTGCTGCAGCTGGTGCTGCCGCTGCTGCTGCTGCTGCTGCTGTCCCTGTTGCTGCTGCTGCTGCTGGCCCTGCTGCTGCTGCTGCTGCTTCTGCCTTTGCTGCCGCGTCCTCCTCAGCTCCGTTGCTGCTGCTGCTGCCGTGGCCCCGGCGCCGACTGGACTCGCCTGTGCCCCGCTGCCGCCGCTGCTGCCGCCGCTGCTGCTGCTGCTGCTGCTGCTGCTGCTGCTGCTGCAGTGGCGGCCGAGCCGGCTGGAGCTGCTGCTGCACGACCTCGAGCGGCGGCTGGAGGCCCAGCGGCTGCTCGCGAGGCCGCGCGACATTTTGCGCAGCGGCGGCGGAGACAAAGGAGACTTTTATGACAAAGACGATGCTTTCATCGACGACGCAGAGGCCAGCTGCTGCTGCTGCTGCTGCTGCTGCTGCTGCTGCTGCTGCTGCTGCTGCTGCTGCTG